CATGATAACAGGTTCTTTCAGTATATTCTATACATCAGTGTAGTTAGTTGCTCGTGAAATTTTGTGCCAGCAGATTGCTTCGTTTTGGAGATAAAAACGTTTTGAAATTTGAGACCGCCTGGCTCAACGTGACTTGAAATGTTACAGAAACCAATATTGATAGCACATTTTTAAAATACACTTCAGATATTCTAATAAGTTAAAAATGATAACTAAAGCATTCAGAAGTGAAAACTCAAAATCTTTTTTCTTCTCGCAGAAATTTTGGCCGCCATCTTGGTGTACCGGAAGTGGTACACCAATATGGCGGACCCATACAGTAACTAAGTTCTGTAATTTTCCGAATATTGTTTTCACAATAACTTCGTTGCAATGAACACTACCAAATAAAAACATGGGGAATATATTTCTTTCCACCTACTCTACAATCTCTGAGTTTATTGATCTTGGTGAAAACGATCTATAGATAAAGTTTTGAGATATTTCGCTATAATAATTATAGACCCATGGTGGCTCAATGAAAAAACTTGTCACTGGTAAATTACACGAGCAAATAAGACATGGTAATAAGACTTGCTTTCAGTTCATACAATCAAATATAAATTGTCATGAAACTTAGCTTAACATTATACAGGACAGTGGAAAAGAAGGACAGATGGACAGACATAAATTAACTTTATTAATTAAAGTGTAGAATCATGTTCTATTTGCATTATAAGTAACAACCTAACTAGGGAAACTGCTATAACTATAAAATTTAACCCATCACTACTATAAACCCACGTTTACTAAGTCCGGTGTAAAAATTTAATTGTTTTATACAAGAAGCTTATTCACATCACCGAACCATTTATTTCCAGAATATCAATCAACTAATTATAAAAAGGCTGGAAATGGTTTTTGCAAAACCATTTCCCAGCGTTTTTGTGCAATATAATATCAGGAGAGGATGATCTAAGAGAAGCATTCCCCCATACATGAGTCTCTTTCAATGATAAATATTTGAAATCTATTTTTAACTTTCAGTCCAAGAGCGCTACTTGATTGGTCAGTTCGAGTAACGTGATGTCGGAGCCTCGATCAGAAGGAAATAAAAATAACTTTCACGTGAAGCTATTAATAGATTTCAAAACATTATATCATGGGGCACGAGGAATCCTTCTCTTAATCATCCTCTCTTGATAATACAGTCGAAACCCCTATTAAGCAGCCACCTATTAAGCGGCCAACCCCGATTAAGCGGCCAGTTATCAAAGTCCCAATATCAGTATAATATTGTAAATAAAACCCCTATTAAGCGGCCACTTGCCATTTCCCCGAGGGTGGCCGCTTAATTAAGGTCGCAACACTATTTACTAAAGTTATACAGAAAAATGCAGTCACTTAATTCAAAATAAAACAAGTCTGTTGTTGAGTGTTCCATGAAACGAATCGTACTTAAAAATAAGCTTCCTCCATACTGTTGTATGTTGCTATTGGCTTATTCAACTTGAGTGCTGTTGTTGTTGTTGTTGTTGTTGTTGTTGTTCATTTGTCCTCATAAGGATTACCTTGTTTCCAGAGACTTAACTTTGGTTTTCACTTTCATCTCAGTGCGCTTTAGTGAATATCGGTGACCTTTAAAACGAACCCCAGTTGACTCCATCGGCGTAAGAAGACTGTGAGCCGTTAAGAATATAAACCATTAAGATTGGACTCGTGACAAGCATTGTACCACCAGGCTCCTTTATACCGTTCGGCACAGCTGTAACTTTTGCGGTCATTGTCGTTGTCTTTAGTAGAAAACTGCATACCACTAGACAAGTACGATATGGTAAGTGATAACATTAATCATCGTTCGAAAATGTTTATTCCGGCACGATTGTCAACTTAAAGAGCAGTTTTCTAAACGGAATGATGCAATTAACCACCTGGTATATATACATAATTATTAAAGTAAGTTTAAATATTTATTCACGTGTCTGTGCATTCAGTAGTTTTAATCGACTCTTGTGATACGAGCTGTTGACGATATACATATAGAAAACATGATTTCATTAACTAATGCGAAGAACAAAAACAAAACAAACAAAGCAAACCAACCAACCAACGAACCAAACAACGAAAATACGAATGAATCAACGAGCAAGCAAGCAAGCAAGCAAGCAAGCAAGCAAGCAAGCAAGCAAGCAAGCAAGCAAGCAAGCAAGCAAGCAAGCAAGCAAGCAAGCAAGCAAAGCAAGCAAGCAAGCAAGCAAGCAAGCAAGCCACGCAGTGTGAAGGCTCAGGCAAAAATATACAAATTCACTCTATATAATAGCAACAGTTCTTTCTTACTTTGTTGTACGAATGGCTGCCATGGAGTCACCAGCGGTGCCACTGTATCCTCCAATCAAAAGCCGATACTTATCTCCCTCGTCTGCCACCTCAAAAATCGTGTACTCAGCGTATCTGATGTTCCCATCAAAGTCCTCCAAATCAACTCTCAGCATGACGTCATCAGCAGCTGTCAAAAGGTGAAGATTGTCGTTTCCAAGCCAGAATTCGCCGTTCAGATCTCCAAACCCGTTTTTGTAGGATTCCCAATCAAGATAGAAGTCAACAGAGCCGTCCAAACGTCTCTGAAAAACGGTCCAACCTCCACCGTCAGTGGTCATGTCACACAAACACTTGTATTGGTTTGCCGCCATCTGGATTGATGGTGTACACGTCACTGGATGTGAAAGCTTCTTTAAGGAGGTGGGCGCAGCTTTTGATGGGCTCTATTGGTTATTGGTTGAAAAACAACAACAACAAAAAATCACCATTTAGTTATTAAATATGAAGCCTTATATATCCACTAACTGATCAGCTTTTAGCTTTTCACTTACTGCAAGGTTTTCCTTTGTATCCATCTTTGCACGTGCATTGTACGTTGTCGTCTTGATAGTCAGGTGTACATGTTCCTGTGTCACCACAAAGTGAGCTGTCCATCTCACAGGCACTCTGAAAATACATTAACATGATTTTTTGTTTCAAACCTTTGTATCACTTGATTTTACTAAAACGCTATTATTTAATTTTTCTAACTGTTTAAACTGGTATCATCTTTTTTTCGGTCTATAATTTTTTTATTCAGTTAAATGCAAATTTAATGCAGATGTCTAGTACAATCGAATCTGTTTCAATGCACCGTCTTCCACCATCTGTTTCACACTGAATAAATTGGCCATTTCCTAGTTGTCTTTTGGCTCATTCTTGGAATTGCTTCAGGAATTGCGTTTTTAAATTTGCCAAAACACAAAGGCTATACGTGTAACACGTTACCTGTTACCTAGCTTCTTTGTGCCAAGTGGCACACGAGGCCTTGTGTGTTACACGTTGTAAGGTGTTAAATAAACTCCAAAAGTGTAGAAAGGGAGGAACTTGCATTTGAGGAAAATATGAATGGAACCCACGCACAACTCTTCGTCAAACGAGTAGGAAATTAGAGCCGGGTGAAATATTTGAGTAAATATTTGAATAAGGCATGCTACTTATTAAAATGAATATTACCTGCAGTCCTCTGTAAATGAAATTTTTATCTTCTGTGAAGTTAATAAAACCAACAAATCGATCAGAATGGCTAAGTTGACACGTGAATATTCCATCGTTGTTCTTTATGGCTCTAAAGTTGTAAGACTGACATTTCTCTTCCTCGGCGCACCCAAACTGACAAGAACTTTCTGACTCCACTTCTGTTTCTTTTATCACGCTTCCATTTAGCTTTCGTCCTGCTATCTTCTTAGCGAAGTCAACTGCTTTCAAATCTGGCTCTGAAATACGGCTTATGCCATACACAGCCGCGCAGACAAGAGTTAGCATCCACAGATGCATGTTCTGTACGGAAAGTGCTTTAACTTTCGTGAGATAAAAGTGTAAAGTAGAATAAGAGTGTAAACGTCTGTTTATTGAGATAGCAGGTGTATCGTTGTTAAGTCGGTTACCAGCAACTTTTAAGCTCCTCTCCTATGTCTATTGTCGATGCTCATTATATCTGCAGTTCATTAGTTCATTAGTACTCTAATAATAACTGATGTAAAGTCGTTAGTCTGGAAATAAGACCTGAACACTGAATAATTAGATTTAGTCGCTGTGTTTTGCAACTTAAATTAGACGCGAGTGGAAGAAAACACTTTTTTGTGATGGCAACAGGAGGGGAGGGGGGGGGGGGGGGGAGGGGGGGGGGGGTACTCCCTATAATGGACTATACGGGGAGGCTCCGCCCGAAAGGGGTAGGGATTTCACGAGTTGGAGTATAGAAAAGGGTAGGAATTTCATGAATTGGAGTATAGAAAAGGGTAAGAAAAACTGTCATTTAGGTATGAGGTGGACTGCAGGTTTGAAGTTCTTAGCCATCGTAAGACAGCTTCCTTCCACTTCCTTCTGGGGATATATATTATATAAATGGTATATAAAAGGGTAAGGGGTTGGACCTCTGGGCGGAGCCTCCCCGTATAAAACTTTTTTGAGTACCCCCGGGGACATGTCATTGTTTACGGAACTTGCTGTCACCATTTTGACAGGCATGTTTTTCCAAATTGGGATTTTTACTGCTTTCTAATGACAAAATAGCTCTTTTATTGGTTTGGATTACTTTTGAGTCATTTTTGGTGGTTTTCAAATCATTAAGAAATTCAAGATGGCGGATTCAATATGGCGGCTGTTCAGAAATCCTTAACAACTTAGCTTAAAATTATACAGGGTCAGACGGCCGAAAGAAGGGCAGACAGAGAGACAGACAGACAGACAACAAATATAAACTTTATTAAAGTGTTGAATCATGTTGACTTCTGGAAATAAATGATGGTATATTTTAAGCTTGGTAGAAATATGAGAAAGATATTATTCTGTCTGTGACACAAGCTACTCGGAAAAAAACAGGAGGAGTCGACAGGAGTCGAACCTATGATCTTCCGCACACCGGTCAGACGGTCTACAACTGAGCTACAGGAGACTCGTGGGAGCTAAGGCAATATAACTAGGTTCAAGTGTGACAAATATCCCGCATACTGCTAGGATTAGGTGGTAGAGCGTCCGACCGGTGTGCGGAAGGTCATAGGTTCGACTCCTGTTGGGGGAACTCGGAATTTTTTTTCCGAGTAGCTTGTGTCACTGACAGAATAATATCTTTCTCATGTTGACTTCTCTTTGCATTATAATTGACAAATTGCGATTAATGCTACAACTATAAAATTAGCTCATTTAAAAAAAATGTCTCAACACCGTATTTACTTAAGTTAGACAGACCATAAGTTAGACAGACAGTCACTAAAACAAGTCTGCTGTGAAGTGAAGGAATCGTACTTAAAAGTGGCCTGTTTGTCGTTCTGACAAGTCGTTGACTGCATATCGTCCACAACTGACTTGCGATATTATTGTAACATTTTGGACTTGTGGGGACCCCCCTCAGGATTGGGAGTCCCTGACTTTCGTCTGCAGATTCGTGGCCATGTGAGTTTAGCGAACATGCGGTATGACTGAGTTTTATCGTTGAGCCCTAACAATAAACTCAATGAGCAAACTCAGTGTTTAGACTTATCTTACAACAGATATCACATGTGCTCAAAGTAAGACAGAGGATAATAGAGCGGTTTTCATTTGAGTGTCGTAAAACCAAAACCAAAACCAAAACCAAACCAAACCAAAACCAAAACCAAACCAAACCAAAACCAAAACCAAAACCAAAACCAAAACAAAACCAAAACCAAAAACCAAACCCAAACCAAAACCAAAACCAAAACCAAAACCAAAACCAAAAACCAAAACCAAACCAAAACCAAAACCAAAACCAAAACCAAAACCAAAACCAAACCAAACCAAAACCAAAACCAAAACCAACAACCAAAAACCAAAACCAAAACCAAAACCAAAACCAAAACCAAACCAAAACCAAAACCAAAACCAAAACCAAACCAAAACCAAAACCAAAACCAAAACCAAACCAAAACCAAAACCAAAACCAAAACAAAACCAAAACCAAACCAAAAACCAAAACCAAAAACCAAAACCAAAACCAAAACCAAAAACCAAAACCAAAACCAAAACCAAAACCAAAACCAAACCAAAACCAAACCAAACCCAAACAAAACCAAAACCAAAACCAAAACCAAAACCAAAACCAAAACCAAAACCAAAACCAAAACCAAAACCAAAACCAAAACCAAAACCAAACCAAAACCAAACCAAAACCAAAACCAAAACCAAAACCAAAACCAAAACCAAAACCAAAACCAAACCAAAACCAAAACCAAAACCAAAACCAAAACCAAAACCAAAACCAAAACCAAAACCAAACCATGATTGGTTTTGGTTTAGCATCTGATTGGTTGAGTAGGTGGCGCGAGTTTTTAAACCAATCACAGAACGTAGTAAAGCAAAACCAATTTCGGATTACTTTCGATACTCAATTGAAAATCGCTCTACTTTCCCAGCTATCAACACTAAAATGCTCTTTTGCTAAGTGAAATTTTGAGACCTCAAGTATCTATGTGCTACAGTGGTACAGTGGCGGTACAGTGACATTACTGAACATGTCATTTCTTCTTGTTATGGGGTCGAAGCTTCATCTCGGTGCGTTTTAGGGAATATCGCAATCCTCTAAAAGCTATCCACCAGATTCCATCTGTAGAGTCGGACGGTTCGCCACGATAGAGACCATTGAGATTTGCCTGAAGGCATGAATTGTACCACCAACCTCCTTTGTATAACTTGGCACATTGCCACTGATTTTTGTCGTTATCGCTATCCTTGGTGGAAAACTGCATCTCACTAAAAACGCTGGAAAGAGAAAGAAAAGATCATATGTAGTTAGCCATTGTGAGAGACGCAGTGGTCTGGGTTCGAGCCCTGGCCGGGGTCATTGTGCTGTGTTCTTGGGCGAAATAGTTAACTTCCACTTGGCATCTCTCCACCCAGGAGTAAATGGGTATAAGTACCGGCGCATTGTCAGGGCAACGTGACAAAAATGCTGAGGGTTACCTGCGATGGACTAGCATCCCACGCAGGGGAGATGCGAAACTCATGCTATGGAAACCGGGGTTAAGCGCAACATTAGCCATTATTATACATTAGCGGAACTTAAAGAAACCATTATCACAAGGGAATGATTTCAGCCATCATATATGGAATAACCTTACTATATTAGGCGTTTTGCATCCATTGTCCACGTGACCTACCTTTCTTAAGCACATGAAGCTGGAGACAATTTTGGAGATTTTGGACAATCAGAAAGATAAAGAACGTATAAAAAATTAGCTTAGTATGGCAATTTTGAGGATTATATCTTCTAAGGGAGGATTTTTATATGGCCGGATGATTATTGAAGGAATTCGAAAGAATTGTATGGGAGAACAACCCTTGTCATCCAGTCACGTTCTAGTGGTTTTCCATAAAGAGAGGATGATCTAAGACAAGGATTCCCTGTGCCCCATGATATTTTTTTTGTAATCTATTAATAGTTTTCGCGCCATTCGGTGAAAATTATTTTTTATTTCCTTTTGATCGAAGCTTCGACACACGTAAACCAAACTGACCAATCAGGTAGCGCTCAGCTATGGCCTGAAAATTAACAATATATTATAAAAAAATATCATTGGAAGAGACCATATGTATGTGGGAATGCTTATCTTAGATTATCCTCTCTTGTTTTCCGTACAAATCCTTGTAATTTTTCAAATTAATATTTCAAATTTTCAAAATGCCATAAAATCTCTCTCTTTCGGTTTATTGGTCTGAAAATTTATATTCTAGCTAATTTACTTACGTTCTCCCTATTTCAGTAATAGTTATATATCACCAGCTTCTTTTTGTAGGAATAAATTACTGGAAACGTATTTGCAGAAGTCTCACGGCTTCTCACTTCCACCAAGAGTCTTAGTCTCTTGCTTCCACACAAACATACAAACTGACATAAAATCTCACCCTTGAACGGCACTAGTCTGAAAATTGGTGGCTAATTAAAAACTTGCTCTGGAAATTTCTGGAATATATATAGGTCCAGCTACAAGGTTAATGATAATTGGTGACGTAATCAGTTGATGCAGAAGACCTATACACACTCATGCAGACAGCGTTTCCAAGGCGCACGAATTTTTAGTTGTTTCAAAAATAAAACAATCTATGGATATTATCCTACACTCAAGTCAGTGACTTTATAAAATACTAAGGGAATAATACGTACAATAATTAAACTTAAAAAAGATCCGCAATCTATCTCACCTTGCCGAATTTCTAAGCTTCATTGAAGCCATGGAGTCGCCAGCCGTGCCACTGTATCCTCCAACCAAAGGCCGGTACTTATCTCCCTCGTCTGCCACCGTAAAAGTCGTGTACTCAGCGTATCTGATGTCGTCATCAAAGTCTTCCAAGTCAACTCTCAGCATGACGTCATCAGCAACTGTCAAACGGTGAAGATTATCGTTTCCAAGCCAGAACTCGCCGTTCAGATCTCCAAACCCGTTTTTGTAAGATTCCCAACTAAGAGAGAAATCAAATCAACGGAGCCCTCCAAACGTCTCTGAAAAACGGTCCAACCTCCACCGTCCGTATTCATGTCACACAACACTTGTATTGGTTTGCCGCCATCTGGATTGATGGTGTACACGCCACTGGATGTGAAACCATCTTGAAGAAGTTGGGCGCAGCTTTTGATGGGCTCTATTGGTTGAAATGATATTTATCATTAAATTTTGGTAATTTAAGACTGTAGTCCTGTCCAGTAACTGATTATCATTTTAGTTTTTAACTTACTGCAAGGTTTCCTGTGTAGCCATCTTTGCACGTGCATTGTACACTGTCGTCTTGATAGTCAGGTGTACATGTTCCTTTGTCACCACAAAGTGAGCTGTCCATCTCACAGGCACTCTGAAAATATATTAACATGTTATTTTTGTTACAAACCATCGTAGGCAAATACATAAACCGCATTGACAGCTTCCTTAAGCGAGCCTTCCGATTTGGATATACTTCTAATAATATTAAGATAGCAGAATGTAATCGAGAAAAGAGATAAGGACTTGTTTAACAGAAAAACTAGTGACACTGGTCATGCTATGTACGACTTACTCCCCCCCCCTCCCAAAAGCTAGAGAAAGACCTCTTCGTGAGCGAGAATATGTATTATTTGTGAAGACACACGTATGATGTTTCTCATGAAACAAACAGACTATTATTATTATCACTTGAGTTTACTAAAACGCTATTATTTAAATTTTCTAATTTTTTAAACTGGTATCATCTTTTTTTTTGGTCTATAATTTTTTATTGACGTAAATACAAATTTAATGCTGATTTAATATGGTACAAAAAATGAGATAAAGACCACAATCGAATATGTTTCAGTGTCCACCGTATACCCTGTTTCACACTGAATGAATTGACCATTTTCCTAGTTGCCTTTTGGCTCATTCTTGGAATTGCATCAGGAATTGCATTTTTAAGTTTGCCAAAACACAATGGCTATACGTGTAACACGTTACCTATAACCTAGCTTCTTCGCGCCAAGTGGCACATGAGGCCTTGGTGTTACACGTTGTAAAGTGTAGAAAGGGCTCCAAAAAGTGTAGAAAGGGAGGAACTTGCATTTGAGGAAAATATGAATGGAACCCACGCACAACTCTTCGTCAAACGAGTAGGAAATTAGAGCCGGGTAAAATATTTGAGTAAATATTTGTATAAGGCATGCTACTTATTAAAATGTATTTTACCTGCAGTCCTCTGTAAATGAAATTGTTATCTTCTGTGAAGTTAATAAAACCAACAAATCGATCAGAATGGCTAAGTTGACACGTGAATCTTCCATCGTTGTTCTTTATGGCTCTAAAGTTGTAAGACTGACATTTCTCTTCCTCGGCGCACCCAAACTGACAAGAACTTTCTGACTCCACTTCTGTTTCTTTTATCACGCTTCCATTTAGCTTTCGTCCTGCTATCTTCTTAGCGAAGTCAACTGCTTTCAAATCTGGCTCTGAAATACGGCTTATGCCATACACAGCCGTGCAGACAAGAGTTAGCATCCAGAGATGCATGTTCAATATTCACAGAGAGATACGAGTGTAAACGTCTGCTTATTGACATAGCAGA